TTAACCTATCTTGAGAGTTTGTGATTTACAAAGAAGAAATCAATGAAGCAGATTTAAAACATGTTTGATTATTTTTGATGGTTCAAGATGTAAAGGTCTTAAAGTCTAAATAGAATTCTTAGAGCTTACCTTCATTAAAGCAGTAAGTACTGGAAGATATACAGTAGCTGTCTAGATTGATTATTATATTATCTGCTTTGCAGAAAAATAATATCCTTGTCTCAGTGCTTGTTGTGAAACCCTCATTATTTTGCTTAATATACTCTGTCCCCAGAGTAAATTAAAACATTTATTTCTTTTGTATTGTAGTTTGCTTAAACTTGGATTCTTAGAACATATATGGATTGTGCTGTGACATCTGAATCCTAGAGATCAATTTATAGTTGTTAAAGATCATGAAGAATTGTCCATTAAAACAGTTAGTATTTGACAAATAACAACATCTGTGTTTAGTATAGAAATTGATCAAACAGATGCCCAAATGAAAGTCTGCTTGAACAAACTTATTAGTCAGTGTCCTGGTCTTAACAGGCTGCCTTATTAAATAACTTTAGATGTATTAAAATCACACTCTAATGTGATAGCATCATGAAATAAATACCTGTGTCTAAATGATAGTTGTTAGGCCAACAATTAGTAAAAACTGAAATATACAGAAAACATACTTTGATTTTGAATGAGTGTGTACACATATGTTGCATTTAGACATACGAAACGGGCAGATTATCAGAATTGTTTATACTGTGCTACAGCCACTGTGCTGCATCACTGAAGTCTTTGTGGAGGATGGAAATTTTAAGGTTTTGTTCCAATTTGGAACAAAGGATTTCAAGATTATGATGTATGGCTTCATACTGAAAATTCTCTGTGAAAGAAAATTCCAGAAATATTTGTTTCAGATCGATTAGAACATTTTGTTTAGACAAAAATAGAAATGTTTTGTTTTGATGTTGACTTTTAATTTTTTTATATTTTATTATAATATCTAATAAAAATACAAACATTTCAAAACTAAAAGTCATTTCAAACCAAAAACTCAAAGTGTTCTGTTCCAAAAATGTCAAAACAGGACATTTTGACGTTTTTGGAACATTTCCCCCCCTGGTTTTGCTTCAAAATGAAATGTTCATGCAATCGACACATGCTTTTTCAAAGTGTTTCAATTACAATGGAACTGCATTCTCTGATGGACAATGGTTCCATCAGAGGTTTTTTTTTTTTAATATATGATCTAGCTATTGATTCTATTGGGAGTAGGACCAGAGTTTTATAGACAAATAAAAGATATGACCCTGCTACGGGAGCCCACTATAAGTCAGCAATGGATCACGATTAACCAAGGAGAGGGGTATGGGAAGAACAAAAGGTGATAAGAGTAAAAGATTATAACAGATGGTTTTTATTAGATATACATCTTACTAGTTAATTTCTCTCTCTTTGTATGTGAGTATGCATTTGTGAGTTGTTTAAAAAGTTGTAGATATTGTTGCTCTGGATTACTGTTTAATTTACTACAGGCTTTGTGTATGTATTTTATTTGCAAATTATGCATGTGGCCCTTATCTTGTATGTGTTTTGCAGACAATACTAATGCTTGGACTTAAGGGTATACCCCAAATGAATGAAATTTATTTTAAAAAATGAACAAATAATAATATTTTACCTTCTACCATGAATAATGATACTTAACATTTATACAGCATTTATTTTCCAAACCACTATACAAATATTAAAAAATGAATCCTCACAACAACAAATCAGTGACTTTATTTTCATAGGTTTGGACTTCTGAGTGCTCACAGCTCCCTTTGAAGTCAGTTGAAGTTGTGGATACTCAGCAGCACATATTAAAATCAGGTCTTTGGGTGTTTAAACATGGATGTAGGTGCACATCTTTAGATTTGAAAATTTTGGTTTAAGTGACATTATGGAAGGAACATAAGTCAGTAGAACTTGGATGTTCATGACTCCCATCATGACTCCATCACCTTCTGTTCTCAAGGATTCCAAAACAAATCCCAAATCCACTATCTTGTACTCTGCCCCGGTAAGGTCAAGTGGGCATTACAGTGATAGGCGACCACAGAGAAGTTGTATGGTGTGCTTCAGGGAGAAGAGGAAGAATCCATCCTCCAGACCATGGAATGGCTGTTGAATGAAGTCTACTCTAGTCAAACGGCTGAAGTAGTCTGTACAGTTCTTTACATACCGCCTCGGCTATAGGGGAGGAGAAAAGAATATGCAGCGGCAGATTTTCCAGTTTAACTCTCCTCTGGGCCGCCATGCTGTGCCCTCTGCTGCACAGGAAGCACTTGGAAAGTTGGTTCAATAAAGAGAACGCACATCCTCTTCAAGACCTCCTAAAGTTCTATTCTGTTCTATTCAGGATCTTATACCATATTCATCACCACAATATCTTAATGCAGCATAAAAAATTAAATAGAATAGAATAGTTCGGCCCTTCTTTTCCCCTGCACAGCAAAAATGCAATGGTTCCGTTCCTTTGGGATCTCCACAGCTGCAGTTGAGAATGTGGGATTTTCTCCTATAAGAATACAGAGACAAATGTGGCTGTTTGGATATGTTGTCAGAAGAGAGAGTGCAAGTAGCCTCACCATCAGCTCACCAATACAGGAGATACCTGAAATTCAGAGGTAGTACTCCTTGGAATGTTACCCAGCAAACCTGGGCAGTAGATCTGATGGAGCTCCATGACTCTAAAAGAGTTAGCCAAAACTCCCCTTCATGAGGTGCGGGGGGAAGGGGAGGGGTGTTGAGGGATGATGCATCTGCAACTTTCCATACTGCAGTAAGGAACATCTCTGGCCATGCGCCCACAGTGCCCACTGAGCCATTCTGCTGGTCTCTGCTCTGCACAGAAAAAGTATCTCAGGCCACTTCCACTCAGGTCCTATAGCTTACTACTTCCAGCTCCAGTGCACTTCAGCGGCTTGCCCACGGGAATTACTTTACTTCACTTGCAACTGAGATCCTGACACTTATGGGGTGCTAAGGCACCTGTGGTGTGCAATACACGTCACAACAAAGGGGAAGGGAAAAATCTGGTAAGTGACACTGAGCCCGACTCTATTATTACAAGAAATGCCACAATATTTTAATGTCTAGGTGTAAACTCATTATATAAGGTCACATCCAAAAGTCTGAGCCATTTTACAGCCAAAATGAACTGAATAGAACACAACTGACCTTGGAAGAATGAAAGTCTGAATCAACCCTCAAGCTGACTAAAACATCAGAAACTCCAAAGGTATCCTAAGAAACTTTCACAGTGGGTCAATGCAAATTTCTGACTTCCCATTAAAAGCAGGGAGAGAATAAGATGTGTGAACAACAAACAATGATCAGCATAAGTTGTGATGCTTCCAACTTTAATCATGAGCAACCCCAAGTATATTTACAGAGGAAAGCTTACCTATATGGTATTCGAAAACCAGAGGGTGTAAGTTTAGACTGCTAACAAGCAAGTCTAATTTTCCTACATACTTAGGGTTTCATAGTCAACTATACCCACGAAAAAATAATACAAGTAGTAACCTGATATTTATTCGCCACAGACATGAAGAAAGCTTAAAGAATTATACAATGTCTGAAACATTTGACTGTTTTAATTGTAATGTTTTTTAAATTGATTTTTTGCTGTGTTATACGTTGAAACAGTGGCAAAAGTTCACAGTAAAGAAGCAAAGCTTACACTATAGTGAGGAAAGAGGGCACTAAGTCTGTCCAGTCCAATTAATCGACACATATTTCTAAAATAGGGAATGTGGTCTTATGATATTACATAGAAGTATCTATTCTTCTTAGGTTTAGTGGATAGTAAAGTGGAGCTGTTTCCCAACACCAGTATGATCTATTTGTCAGTCTTCGTCATTATAGCATCTCAGCACCTGAGAAACATTAAACATCAACTCCCCCGTGAGAAAGGGAGTATTATTATTTTTCCTTATTTTGCAGATCAAGATTCAGTCAGAGACAGATTAAGAGGCTTGCCCAAGGTAACACTTGGCCAAGCAAATTTGTGACAGAACCAAAATTTGAACCAAGGTTGCCTTAACCACAAGTCCATTTTTCCTCCTAGTCCATCCTCACTTGCTAGTCTAAACATCCCCCTGATGTCTGCACTTAACTAAATTACTCACTGAATTTTTCCTAATGTGCTCAAGCTAAAACCTATGTACAGAGAAAGGAAAGCAAATTGAGAGTTATAATCTGTTTTTGTAGCAAATCATATTCATGTCATTGATATCCATATTAATTCAGAATATATTTGGAGCCACTATACCTTATTTCTGTTTTTAACACAAGAATTGTCATTCATGTCACATATTAAACCAAATTAAATTATAAAAATACTCCGTGCTGTAAGAACCAACAACACAAGTATCTCCTCTTATTACACGGAGACAAACAAGTAGTTTATTGGAAAAAATATGTGAATCTCATTTCTGATCCTAATGAAGCAAGTAGCCCATTATACTGAGGTTAATTTGTTGACTCATGATTTCTACTTATCCAATGATATACCGAATCATGTGAACAAACCTCTACATCTAATCAGTTTTTTTATTGAATCCTGACCTTTAATACACCTTCTTCTTGATTATGAATGACAGTGACCTTTATCTAATTTAAAACAGACATACTGATGCAAAAATATGCAAAGTACACATGTAAATTCTGAATTAAGATGAAGATGTGCATAATCTTCTGGGGAGAAAGATAGAGATGTTTACATTAGGGCCAATTGATGGTATGTGTGTGTGTGGGGGGAGAATAAACAAAAAAACAAAACAAAACAAAACCCCAGAACAAGAATGGGTTTGGAGGAACAGCTGCAGAGAGCCTGAAGTCTGTTTAGATTTCCAGAGCTTCTATTTAGAATCCCGAAATGTCAATATAAATATCAATTTTTATTATGCTTTTCAGCATTTTATGACATTCATGAAATGATCAAAATGCAGTAAAGTCAGACAAAATACCTCTTGCAAGCTTTGGCAAACTATGCTTCCATATTCCATTGTTTTTTCACTTCAAATACATAAAATTCATTCCCTGCAACAGAAAAGCTGAGTCAAATTCACAACATTCTAAGTGCTGTATATGTTCGGTTCATGCTGCCCTTTGTCTCAAAATGGAATGCCATGTGCATCATCAGGCAATATTCTTTTTAGTCCATAACATATTTAGAAACTGCTGTCGCTACTGAAAAAAGAGTGATTTCTGGGGGAAAAAAGTACTTACCTAACTTCCCCCCTTTCCTGGCACTTTCTTCTTTTTCCCCTTAGGTTAATACAAATGGGCTGCATTGACAATACTAGAGATGAACCCAGCCATGGGCACATTCTGAACTGCAGCATAAGCCTATAATCCACTCTCTCTTTTCACAAGTCATTCTTTCCTATGATGAGCTCTGAAATGAAATTGTACATCAGCTGCTCTGCTCAAACATTGGAATCCATTTTTTTAAAAAGAATATACAGAAAATTTGCAAAACTAGGAGTAAAGAATGTCAAAGCACAAGTCTAGTGAACACATTCTTCTGACAGAATCCTACCAAACAGTACCTGGCATTAGCATGTACTTTCACGATTAACAAGAGGGGGTTGTCAGACTACTATTTCTGAAATAAACAGATTTATCCTGACAGATAATCAGCAGTTTGCACTGCCTAATACATGTTATCATCCACGACTGACATCATTACATTAAAAGCACACTTACTATAATCTTTCATTGGAAATTAAACAGATTTTATGTAAGACATAAGCTGGATCTTTTGGGGAGTGAATGGGGACTGGGAAGGGAGAGAGAAACGTTGGGGAGAACATATACACTAAACAACAAAGAGTAAATCCCAAGAAAATCAATGCCAGGTTTAGTCCCTCAGAATCTATTAGCATAATTTCAAAAGATATTAAAACCAAATGTGCAGAACTGTTAAATGTGTACTATACATGTAACCAGTATCGGGGTAATGCCTTTCACTTTCCCATGATTCTATCTCAATGGTATCCTCTGTGTGTCTGTGTGTCTGTCTGTGTCTAGGCCCCTGCCTTACCCACAATAGGAACTAGGCACCTAACAGTGACATCACAAGTTTGTGATATATTTCTGATTTAGACATTTATAGTCAAATTTTTAAAGCTGGCCATGGATCTCGGGAGCCCAACTTGAGTGAAGTACCATGGGGCTGATTTTCTGAGGTATTGAGCACATGCGTTCTGAGTACTCAGCAGTTCTGTTAATCTGTTCTCAAAATGAGCTCCCAAATGAAAGGAGGCATCCCTGATCAGTGATCATGTTTGTAAATGTTGGTCTTAATTCCTAAGGGCCAATTCCTGAAATGTTCTTTGAGTTAAAAAAAAGTAAGGATTGTAGGATTTGTCCTGAAGTACAAAGAATGTGTGTTCCTGACTGGTCCTATAATTCCTTGAGTCCTGCTTAGGCGATGAAACCAATGTGGTTATGCTATGCATGGGTAGGGGCAAGATATTAGAAGCTTGTGCAGAGATATTGAACCATCTGTGTGCTACAGTGTAGAGAGTTTTGGGACAGGATACAGAAAGGCAGAGAAAGGCCAGAAAGATGTAGGTTAATAACTGGTTGATCTGGGACTAACACAGCCAGGCTGTGCAAACCCCTTGGGGGACAGTGCAGAAGCTACTGAAACCCAGTGGTTGAAAAACTGGCTGCAGAGCAGTCCTGTAGCATGAGGGAAATGAGGAATGATTCCACTCACACATCTGACATCTGTGGAACCTTCCTCACAAACAGCTTGTTTACTCAACTAGCTTTTTCAGCTGGAACCAAGAATGGGCTCTGTGAGGACAAGAAAGTTTTAATAAAAACGATCTCACATTCTTCCTTCTTCTAGGAATGCTCAAAATCCTTTGAGGATGTTACCTTGCCTCAAAAGAAGGACATTGAGCATAAAATAATTCCAGGAACATTAGGTCTAATTCTGAATTTTTTCTTTCTTTCTTTCTTTCTTTCTTTCTTTCTCTCCTATATTTTTTATTGCAGTCACAGTGTCATAATTAACATTACATTGTTATTACCGACTCCACTGACTCACAGAACACAGCATAGTGCAAAGGTCAGGGAACAGAAATTGCATAGGTTACATAGTGGTTGTATTCCCTTTAGCAAGCATTTACTCCTTTGGTTGTAGTCTCCCTAGCTAAAGCATACAGCTTCTGAGCCACAGGCTCTGTAAAAAGGTGAGTCAAATGTCCAAGTTTTGGGTCTATTAGTTTATTTAGGGTAGTAGAGAGACAAGGGGTGAGGTAATATCTTTTATTGGACCAACTTCTGTTGGTGAGACAGACAGGCTTGCAAGACAGAGAGAGAATGAGAGCAAGCTTGTCTGTCTCATCAGCAAAAGTTGGTCCAATAAAAGATATTACCTCACCTACCTTGTCTGTCTAATATCCTGGAACTGGCATGGCTATAACACCACATACAATATTGAGAGTAGTGAATTTCTCCACAAACAGAACCTGAAAACTGGGTACATTCTGTTTTTTCTATCCTTGTACAGTTATTTCAACTTCTTCTCTTTGCTGCCAGGCTAATAACAGCTGGTTACTGAAGGGTCCAGTTTTGAGAATTGATTCACACCAACGCATATTTCTGAAACTATCTAAGAGATTTTTTAATGTTGCAACATTAACAGAGTGATGGAAATTAAATGGATATGTGACAAATGCAATCTTCTTGCAAAATCCTTGGCAGTATCATACAGAATTTAAATGAATTCATAATTATGTGCTAACTATACATTTGTTTAACACTCACATTTCTCAAGAATGAAAAAAATAAACTATTCTTTTAAAATACAGTCTCTTAGCTGATTTAGACCCGTTTCAATCCCACTGGTGTAAATCAGTGAAGCATTTGGCAGTGTGGCTTTAGCCTCATGTACTGGGTACTGTATGCGGGGCAAATCCACAGAGTCTGATACTTCAACGAGGATCAAGGAAAGAAAAAGCTGACCTAACAAAGTGGTCTCATTTGTTCTTTTTACCCTACTCTAAAAATGTTGAATTGCTATTCACCCATGTTCTGCATATTTCTTGCACTTGATTATGTGTTAAGGCTGTTTGATTGTTGTTTACGTTAGATATTTTGTGTCCAAAGGTCAAATGAGCATAGCTTTTGAATCAGATTCCGACTGGCTGCTTTTGTAATACTTAATCTTTGCACAGTGGGAGGAAAAGAAAGTGGGAGACAGTTCAAGCTAACTCAAATAAACAGACAGAAGTAAAGCAACAATTGCTTTTCTGTACGGACCTGCTCTTGCTCGTTTCTTCTTTAGAGATAACACTCTTTGACGCAACGTCAGATAACCATGTTCAAAGTTTCACAGGCTAACCATTTAAAGATGCATTTCCACTCCATTTATTTTCCTTTATCTGAACCTTCTATTGGTTCATTTCAACTGAGGACATTTCAAAACAGAGACATGTAGGGGGAAAAAAGGGCCCACCTTGACACTCCTCTGGAGATTACAAAGAAAGGCATATGACATTAGAATGCTGTGTTCTGATGAGAACAGTTGTTTGCATAAAAATTTTAACTATTACTAAAACTTCAATGAAGTTTCAAGGAAAGAAAGACAGATAAAGCCTCAGGTTAATTTCAGTCATTACCAAGCACTTTACACCTGCTGAAAAATTCCAAAATGCAAAGGGATGTCAATCTTGTTCTTTAGGAATTTTTTTTAAAAATGGAGAAGACCTTCAAAGGCGGTCAGTAGACAAGACAGTCAATTACAGACCTGATTCAGCTCTTAACCTCTTGAGGTATAAGTATGCTTTTTCTGCAATAGCAATCATTTTCAGCATTCATTCAGATAAAAGGCCTAAATTTTCCAGCATGATACTTCAGCAATGTATTCTGGAGTACAAGGCAATGACAGGTATTGCAAAATAAGAGCATGATATAATCAAATACGTAAATTGATGCGACACCCTGGGGAACACATATTCGTTTTCTGCTGCCGTAGCAAGTCACCAATGACATCTCTTTGCTTGATAAACTTGTCGCCACATAGGTTTTCTTTCCTAATAACCTATATTGCTGTACATTTTCTGACATGATCTATCATATGTTCCCTCCATTGCTAAAAGACTCTCTCCCCATCTCTCTCTCTCTCTCTTATTTATAACTCACAGTACAGCAACTAGACTTGGTTAAAACTGAAAGCGACTTGGGCCTCATTGAACACTGAACAAGTTAGATGGAACTTATTAACCATCTCTATAGCATCCTTTTAAGATGATAATTTATCTTTTTAACTGTCCTCTGTAAAACCTGCAGAAAAGAGCCAGATGGGAGCAAGTACACTGCATTATATACAGCTACAAGGTTTACCACATCCTATAGATTCTCTTGCAAGGCACACTGAAGTGGAGTAAAAGGTAACTTATCTTGAAGAGTTGTTTCAGTGCGTTACCATAGCAAGGGCAAGTTCACAGATGAAGAGGAAGAAACCATTGTCAGTGGAAAACAGAAACCAGGTGTAAAGGACCCTAATAATTTTGTTTAGAAGACTATGAACTAACTTGAAGCTTACCATATGGGTTAGATCTTTGGAGAGTTTCCTGAGAAGCTAGCAAATAAATTCAGAGGCTTATATAAAATACAGGGCCTTGTTTTCCTTTCATTTATTTCAGTGTATCAATGAATTCAAGGTGTAAACCTGGTGTACGTAAGAGGAGAATCATACCAATCATTTTGAAATTACTCAGTGAAATGATGGTGGTGACTCAATAAGGAACACTTCCATACCTGTAAAACATTGGCCATTTGGTTGATGGGGAAAAGGAAGCCAAAAATAGCTGTTTGCTACAACATTTTTTTATTCACTTACAAAAAGCTTTTCCTGCTAAAGGTCCTTTAGCCCCCTTTTCATATTTCCAGTAGTGACTTATCTAATCTCATCTCTTTGATTATCAAATTCCATAGGGATCTCCTTTATTTCCCAACTTTATACTGGCCAGAATTTCCATTAAAAAAGATCCCTAAGGTCTTTCCTGCAGTTCACTTTTCCTATCTAAAATTCCCTACTCCCATTTTATTTTTTTTGTAATACCCCCAAAATGTTCTATAAACGCTCTTGCTCCTGGAGTAGGCAAGAAGAATGAATTTGCACTGGACTTTTTCCTCCTTCTCTAAATCAAAATTGCTGTGTGTGCAGCAAGCAGAATGGAGAAATTTCTCACTCTCTTTCTATATGGAAATTATTCTAAAATTTGTAATTTGTGAAGGCATTGTTCAAAAACACATACTGGTTCTTCCTAGGTAACTTTAATTTACTTAAAAAAACAACCCCTGGCACTTAAAATAGTTAACAACAATTATAATTACTGGATAAGAAAGAAAGGTCAGATTTCTGTTACATCATTGTGAAAGGCTTTTATTACACACTCCTATAAAACATATTTCTTTTGTCAGTTGCCATCCTAGCAGACTAGCCTGCATACCAATAGGAACACTAAAGTGCCAAGAAGCAGAAGATAGTTATCTGCTAAAATCTATGTAGAGTAACCTAACAAATGCCAGAGGAAGAAAGAGTGCCCTCTGCACAGTAATACTTGTTTAGATGTCTTCTTTATACTGACAATGACAAGGCTCCTTTCGTTTGTACTGTACTACAAAATCAGAATGCATTTTTTTCAAAAGCAGACTGTATATCAAAGAGAAAAGAGAGACATTCTAGGAACTGGGATACTTAATGTGGATAAGTAAATACATTTACCTGAACACTGCTAACTAAAAGTCCTCAATGTTAAAACTGAAGATTTATACCATCAGTATTATTCAAGGTACTCGGGAAGGTTTTTGTTGGTTTTAAACTTTTTTATTTCCCCTCTTTCTGTCCATTCTGCTTTACAAAATTTCCCTCTTACCTCTATATTGTTTCAAAGTTTTAAAATTACAGTTGTTTTTATCAACTCCTAAGTTAGTTATATAATGGTTCTATATGAATAATATATACAAAACTAATTATTATAATTTACAAATTGCAGCTGTTTTAGGTGACAAACAGGAACTTTTATTGCAGGACAAATTTAAGGAAGAAGAATTCTAATGTTGTAACTTCTGCACTGTGCTGCTCTTCAAAACTATTATTTTATTGTATTTGAATATATCTAAAATTGTCCTGTCAAAGGCACATTTCAGATGTAACTCTAAACTCTGCCAGCAAATCCAAAGAAATGTTCATGAAGTGATGCCAGACTTACTGTCTGCCTTCATACAATCAGTGTGCTTTCAAACGTGCTAGTTTCATATTTCTTGTTATACACACTTTGAGTCAGAACTTTACTGAGTAAATAGCGCTCGAATTCCCCCTCCCCCTGCAGTCTATAGGAATTATGCCCCAAACTGGTTTTGATCCAGTTAACTTTCTTTAAAAAAAAAAAATTATTTTCAACATTTCAAAAAATAGATATTAACACAAATAACTATAATGGTTATATTTAATTACTTCTACTACTACTGGCAATTCTATTAACAATATGTTTATCTTGTGGTCTACATTTATTTGACAGGCCCATTTGCAACAAGGCCTGCAGTTTCCTTGTATACAACAGTGCAAAGTAAAAGGTGACCTTTTTATTTATGTTTAAAACATTTCAACAGTTAGTTCTGCTCCAAAGATAACACCCTAACAAGGTTCAAGGCCAGAAACCCCTGACAATATTGACTTTTCACTTGATGACTACTGCACTGCATTAACTTAAACAGACACCGGAAAACATTTTTTAAAAGGAAAAAGAAAAAAGCTTAATTGAAGGTTGCATTTGTAGACTAGAGAGCCTCTATGTTAAAATCTTACTTGTCATTGTAAAAAGGATAAATAGCTGGCTAAATAAACATTAGAATAACAGTCACTTAAACAACTGCACCTATACAGATAAGTAACAAAAGCATCAGGCACCTGGCATCATATTAGGACCTACTGATGACAACAACATGAATCATTATAGTGACACCTAATAATGAGCAAACAGTGACGGTATTACATGTCTTTAGAAGAATCAGGCTCCTACCTTTACAAGACAGATGGACGGTAAGTCCCCCTTTAAAGAAAGTTGTCAGTAAAACCGGGCTGCAGTTGCAGTAAATTGAGTCCTTTCAGTCACTGTATACATGCAGCAGTTCTGCAATGAGGGAAAAATATTATGGGAGGAGCAGCTGTGAACGAGTGACCTCCTGAAGCTGAGTTCTCTTTGTGAATCAAGCACTGGGAGCCAGTGCCTCTGATTTGCATGGATTATCTCCACTTGAACAGATACATTTAAATCTATCTGGCACGGTGGCAAAAAAATGGGAGAGTAAGTGAATGAGAGCGAGAACAAGAGAGAGAAGGGGAGAGAGAGAAAAAGAAGACAAGAAATCGGGAAGCTTGGCTGGATATGCTGGTTCTGGCAGAACTGTGTCTCAGAAGAGCTACAGCTCCCTCTTCATGTCACAATTGTAAGATAAGAAATGCTGTCATTAAGCACTGGTTAATAACAGAATTCCCCCCTTACCCCCCCCCCCGAACTTCTGATGTTCCATTTGATCAGATTTTTATAAACACTTAATTATTCTGTCATCATAAAATCAGGATTTTATACTGTAAGCTTCAAATGATTTGTATTCAGGCAGGTAAAAGAATGAGGCAGGTAAAACTCCCCATGTAATTTTAAACACAGAAACATTTCAAACTGAGTAGTTTGTACAAATTAAGACAGATTTCTACATATGCCTTAAAAATACACGTATTGAGTATGCAGATAACTTTAAAGGCATGGATAGAAGATGGCATTCAAAATGTTGATATATAGTTGTCTTTGACAAAAATACCATTGCTCTGGGTGTGTAAGCCAACATTTTTGAGATTACTGAAATGTATCAAGACAAAGAGACCAGTGAAAACGTTCTAACAATCTGCATCCAGCCACTTCTCCCTTATTACCATGAATAACACAAGCATTACCTGTCAAATTTTTCCAATTTGATTTAAATGAAGTACTTATGCTGATTAGGGAAGTATGAGGAACCCTCTTGAGCCTTCATCAAAATTAAGATGAACCTGAACTAAACTTTTTTTCTGGTTCAAAGGCATTTAGATAATTTTTTTCTCATCTTACAATTTCCCAGTTTACAATTTTTTGAACCTCTAAATATAGCTGTTGGGTACCAGTTGGACCAAAAGTCATTAAATGCAGAGATAATAGCTATTCGGAAATGGGAGGTAACAGAAAGCTTTGAGAGAGTTTATTTTTATGAGATTTCAAGTCCAAAGCTGCAATCTCAGGAGATTCAGATAATTCAAATGAACTTCAAATAAAAATCTGAACTTTTGGTGCTTGTACAAATCAAAGCCAAATTGCAAAACAGTTGAGGGTCACACATGAAACTTTAAATCCCTCTGCCTCATGTCTCCCCTTTTTAGCCCTGATTCTGCAAAGAGACCCAAGCTAAACAGATCCTGTTCCCATGTACAGTCTCAATGAAGTCAAGCAGAGTCCATGCAGGCTCAGGAGTTTACCCCTTGCTTGGAGCCCGGTTGAAATCAGTGGGGACCTGCCTAGGGGGTTCACTTTGCATGATGGAGATATTTGCTTGAAACCTGGATTCTTAGATGATGCATCTAGCTAAACAATAAATATTGTAAGTACTAAGCTTACCCCTGCCATGAAAAATTGCTTCTTGGAAGTAATCACATTTACAGTAAAACTCACTGCAGATAAATGATCACACAGATGCTGGACAAAGTAGTGGGGAATATATCTAGATTCTATAATAAAAGCTATGTGACACAGTTATTAGTAACTCTTTATGCCCCATATACAACCGCTAACTCTTAAGAATGCACTTGTCTCTCTCCAAAAAAATTGGAGATTCAGATGATTTCATTTGGGGGGCTAGATCCTTGAGTTGTGCCCATTTACACCAGTTGAGGATTTAGCTCTGAATGTTTATTAGAAATGTATCCAAACTGCTTGAGGTTTCATACATCCTTCCCATTTTTCTCTTCCATCTTTCCTTCCGTGTTTACATCAAACCCATAATGGGTTGCCAGGTGTCCAGTTTTCAATTGACCTTCCCCAGCCTGGTGAAAATGAGTGAGTGAGTGAGGGTGGGAGAGAGCAAGCAATGGAGGAAGAGGGGGATGGAGTGAGTGGCACTCACCTGCTCCTTTGCCTCCAAAATTCACTTGCTCCTCCCACTTACCCTTTCTCTGACCTCCTAGTAAGTGAATGAGTACCCGTCTCTCTTCACAACCTTCCATGACAAATCCATATTTTTACACACTATTCCCTGTGAAGGGTTACGAGTAGTGTGGCTCCTACTGCTAGAGGGCCTTGAAAAGCACCATGAGCCAAAATCTGCTCCCAGAAGTGGTGTAAATGCTGTGTAACTCCACTTTAAACCAGTATCTTGAAGAGATTAATTTTCAAGCTACTCATATTAAACTTCCTTAACCTCAGTGACCACTTCTTAAGTCTCCTTTGGCTTCTTTTACTCTCCATGGTCCCAATCAATCCTTCTCAATCTTTAAAGAATGTCATCAGATTCAATAGGTCTAACAGTGCCTTAGACTGTTCTGTGTGTTATCCCTTAGACTGCGCTGCTTTCAGATACATTTTGCATTCTCCCTGTTCCTAGCTTACAGTGAATTCTGGGCTAGGGAATCCTACGGTGTGACAGATATGGATGTAGCAGCAGCTTTGTCACCCTACACATGGACCCTCTGAAGACCATCAAAGATAAGGGGACTTCAGAAAGGAGGAAAGGAGCCTGGGAGGAATCAGAGCACATGAAGGATTAGGAGAAATTGTAGGAAGACCTGGAAAATTATAATCTCATTTGGTAGTGTAGGGGTGGGAGGTTGAAGAAGTTGAGACTGAGATTCCCTTTTGGCAAACTACGTACACCTGCTAGCGATCACTGTGGGGGAGAACAAAGTGAAGGCTGTGGGGAGAGTTGGCGGAACCAGCTAAACAATTACTAGAATATCTGTTAACCTTATAAGAGGTCTGAATTTCATTCACTTAGAGGAGAGGGCCAAGGATGAAAATGATATTTTAATCAAATCCATTTGCACATCCTTGCTCTGCAATTGAGCAAACACATTAACAATTCTCTGTTGACTAGGGAGAAACAACAAAAAAAGAACAAATCGGGTTAGAGTAAGGAAAAAGGCAAATGTACCAGAACAACTGGCCACAAAATCAACACAAAGTTGCCAAACTTATGAGAGAAAGTGAGTTTAGAGGGCAGGTGCCACGCACTCCTATCAAAGAGCCACAAAGGCAAACTGGGTTGTATTTTCTCACTGCTGTGCGAAAGATAGTTATGCATATATTTGTTAATAGTTTAATACCTGCCCCCACAATGTGCACATCAATCATTCAAATACAATAAAAGCCCCGAATCTTTCCAAAATGTTCATATGTATCAAGTTTCCAGATGAAATTGAAACAAAAATATCCAAAATGGCATCCAAAAGATTAGTCTTGAGTTTTGCCCAGTTTGAGGTTTGCCCATGACCAATATAACTTCTAGTTATTGGTAATTCAGCCCTTCAAACCCAGCATAAAGAAGCAGCAGAAGATATTTTTGGAGCATACTTAGTCATGGGAGAAAACCCACATGAATAAAACAGAACATATCAAAGGACACCGAGATAGGATCTTTGGTAACAGACTTTTATCATTTTGCTGCACTGTCCAAATCACACAAATCCAGTAACAAAAAGGCAGATAACTCTTTCTAAAATAAGAGGGAAACTTAAATCAGACATACAGGTCAGTCTAGTATAATGAAAGACCTGTGAGAGGTAGATAGGCTATACATGTGGAGTGAACTTAATTCAATCAAGCAACATGTATTTCATTAACAAAAAGAGGTAGCAAAATTAAAACCCTGCAATACAGGCATAATATGACCAGTCATCAGGGATGGCTAAAAAGCTGCCACCATATGGCCCATACTGCAGAACAACGGACTGGTATAAGAGTAAATACATATGAAATGAATTTTTAAAAAGCTGACAAAATTGTAGCAAATTGAATGCTAATTCATGACAATTTCTGAAAGAAACAGGACAACAGATTATCTGCATATAAGTGGACTTAAAATATCTCTCAATGCCAGCCTGATACCCAGTTCAAACGGAAACAAACCACCTCTTTACAGATTGAGACTGTAAATGGTCAAGCCAGAGCTTCAATCAGTCTCATTAATTAAAGAGCAGGTGTAATGCATTTACTCAGAAAATTCAGAATTATAAAATGACACTGTAGTTTTAAAAATAGAGCATGGAAGAAGAAAGGGAACAGAAGAAATACCAATAAAAGACACAATAAAAACTGTAAGGTTGAATGCACAAAGGCTACACATGCACACTGTATTATATAACTTTGGTAGCTAACCCACTTTACTTCTGAAGAAATTTCTTGTAAGCTTCTGGTGACAAAATAAATCTTGAGACCTACAGTAAGAATGCAGTGAGCACCTTGGGAGTCTCAGAGTACCTGCAACATGGATTCCACGGGGCGCCACTACTTGACAAACACAAGCTTGTTTATTAGCAACAGGACCTGGCAGAGAGGATGTCATTTTCTGTTCCCAAAGGGGAGAAAGGAAAGGGAGGCCTAGGAGTAGGAAAGAGAACTTAACTAAATCAGTTTAAGTCCTCAGAATAAATATTTATTCCAGTTTTCGAGATAGAAGTTTCAGTTCTCATTTTCCCCTCACACATTCATCTGTGCACAGTGAAAAAAACACATTCCACTCTCCATCACCTAAAGCTGATATCAAATGCCATTTCTGTTCCATCTAGTTAGGTAGGCTGCATGTGATGGTTGGTAGCATTTCATCGCTAGTATACTACCTCCTAAACACATATAGGTAAACAAGTAAGAGTTCATGAGAGTGAAATCCCCTCAGAGATCAGTCAGCCTTCTGATTACTAATCCATGTCTTTCTTTTCTATATCCAAATTAATTTATTTTGCAGTCAAAGAAATACAGCAAAGTACCAGGAGAAAATCCAAGGATTTGATTCCTATTTCACATTATTGTAAATGGGCAGTAAATTCACTGCAGTCAATGAACTTTCATCTCCACTCTCCTACTCTTTGTGTATTTACACCTATGCAAAGTGACTGTATGATGCTACCAAATCAGAACAGTAGCATTTTCACATTCCTTTTTAACAGTATAAGTAACTGCACCAAATCAAGGTGGTGGAGAATCAGGCCCCACGGAGCTGCACTCGTACAAAGTTACTGAGGCAGAGAGATCAGAATCAGGTCCTCAGTTTGCTGGCATTATTTGAGACTCCATAACAGCATAAACATGAGCAATTATTACTCTGAGCATTAGATATACAGTATCATAGTCTTCTAGATCAGTTTCCCAGGCTATCTAATGGATCAACTAAAGCTC